TTATAGCAATTTAAATACGAGCAATCAGTTTTTGGCAAATACCGGAAATCAGTTTTTGGCAGACAATCATTTTTTGGCACAACACCGGCACAGACATCTGGTTGTGTTGTGTGTGTTTCTGTGACCAGTAGACCACCTCATTATTGCAACATTATTGCCCTGAATAACAAAACTGCCTCAAAGTGACTAAAGCATGCACAATATATAAAGTGTGTATGAATATAACTAAGTGAACTTAAATAGCTACTGCGATCTAAATTAAATAAAACATTTTAAATTAAGTAAGCAAGTATTGTTTACATTCTGTATATAAACCATTTGTTTATAAAATGTCAAAAAGGCTAAAAACCCGTCACAACATCACGTCCCTTGCTTCACAGCTTCTGGCTTTGAGTTCTTAACATAGAGTGTGCTTCATTTTTTAATGTCAGCTATTCTCTTTGAAATGTTTAAGGCTGAAAACTTCTGCCACAGCTTTGGCTTGCTCATGAAGCCTGTTAACTGATAAAAGTGAGATGTCCCAGTTAAATTATGCAGCACTTTCTCTCTGAGGCTCTCCACAGAGGTGCCTGGGGAGAAGGTGAGAGACAGTATCTGCATCCTTCATCAAGCCAACTACAGCACACTTGAGGTGAAGAGGGAGAGAGTGCTTTAACTAAAAGCAGGACTCCGGTTTCCTAAGCTCTTAAAAAACTCATGCAGCGATGCAGGGAGAGGACAGACTGGGAAGAAATGAAAGAGGTCTGTATGTGAATAAGGTCAAGGGTACTTTTTGGGAAAAGCCTATATGAAAAGGCATTACGTGCATTGTGGATGTGAATGGAGTCAATGGGAATGAGCCAATGAGAAAGAAGGCCAGCTCATAGTAGCCTACAAGCTGGCTGAAAGTGCTGGGGGCCAGCTCGGCTGATGCAGATGACAGATGGGCCTGACAGCCACCATGGGGACATTTTCTTAACAAGTTGAAAACCCGACACAAAAGGTATAAAATGCTCGCAGAGAGTGAATGACATCATGACATGAGCCAAAAAGAAAAGTCCCTAATCTTTAGTATTCAGATCCCAAAGGAACCAGTCAGTGTTTGAACAAGCTAAAGGTAAGAATGCAAAAATGAAGGTTACACTTTCAGATTCTGTTTTGATGACACGGTTGTATTAGTCATAGGAAGAAAACAAGACATTTAAAACCATTAAATAATGTTTGGATGTCACAATGATCTATTCTCTGTCGTTGTGACAGAAAGCTCTGAAATTAGTTCAAAACAGTGTTAATGTGTCATGACTAATGACTGTGTA